CAAAGGCCAACGTGGGCGGGCGAGACGAAAAAGCGTTGGGGGTAGACTAAAGCATCCAAACGACCAAAACAATTGAGAAACAGCCAACCTTTGAACGGACGGACCCAAACGTGCCAGCCTCATGACTTTACCTGATGGGAAAAAAACTCGGGGAGACAGATTCAGATATTTACTCTGCTAACGGAAAAGCATAATACAAACAACGAGAGAAAATGAAAATGATTCATGAGGTGTGGATGAGTTCGACAAAATCGGAGAAACGAACACGTTTACGAACTTTTCTACCGTGACTGGTATTAGTTTGCGGCGAATCTGATGACTGGGCTTGTGATGGAGCTGAAAAGCTGGGCGTCGATACAAGTGGCTCTGTAGATTGCGTTAAAGTCGATGATGGAACAAACTGTTGTTCATCGATGAACGCAGGCTTGACGCGATCTATCGAGACAGCATCCCTTTTACCCCCACGGTCAATCACCAAAGTTTTTGAAGACCGTTTAATAACACGGTATGGACCTGTGTAAGGTGCGGAGAGAGGCTGTCTCACTTGATCGACACGTAAGAATACGTGAGAACATGAAGAAAGGTCTTTCGGAACGTGCACTGGAGTGCGTTGTCCCCTGGGTCTCGCGGGGTGCAGCTGACGCATGTGGTGCGTCAGACGAGCTATGTAGCTCTTGTAGTTCCATGCCCTCTCCGGGGTTGGGGCGACTAATTGTCCAGGGAGACGCAATGTGCAACCATAAACGAGTTCGGCCGGAGCAGCGTTAATGTCGGTTTTGACAGTATTCCGTAAGCCAAGTAAAACGGTGGGAAGCGCTTCGTACCATTCTGCGTTATCATGTGCACATAGTGCAGCTTTCAGCTGGCGGTGAAAGCGCTCAACCATGCCATTGGCGGCAGGGTGGAATGCAGTCGGTTGGACGTGACGGCAGCCGAGAGTCTGAAGCAGGTGAGCAAATGTGCCTGCGAAGTGCGAACCTCGATCAGTTGTCACAACGGCAGGACAACCAAAGTATGAGGCCCATCGCTCTAGAAAAGCGCGAGCGACAGTGTCTGATGAGCAATCTGGCATTGGGATGGCATCAGGCCATCTTGTAAAGTGGTCTAAACAAGTCAGCAAGTAAACGCATCCTTTAGATGGGGGCAGTGGCCCAACAAGTTCAACATGAATATGGTGAAAACGGGCATCAGGGAGTGGAAATGAACCAAGCGGACTTTTCGTGTGTCGATGAACATTGGACTGTTGGCAACTAAGGCACGTACGAGCCCACTGTCTAACGTCCCGGTTGACGTTGCGCCACACGAAGCGTTGTGTGACGAGCTTAACTGTGGCACGAATGCCTGGATGCGATAAACTGTGAAGAAGGTCGAACACAGTGCGTCAGAAAGCTTGGGGAACCACTGGTCGTGGTGCATTTTGCGAAACGTCGCAAAGTATGCTTCCATCCGAAGTAGGCAGTGGAACTGGTCGTATGCGCAAGGAGCTGGAATTACGAAGATGATCCAGCTCTGGGTCGGTCTGTTGAGAAGCAGCCATTGTCGTTAGATCGATACCTTCAGCGGACGTGATGGAGCTGACGCGAGAAAGAGCATCAGCGACGGAGTTCTGCACACCCAAGACGTGCCGTATGTCTGACGTAAACTGTGAGACATAGTCCACGTGGCGTATCTCTCTCGGAGAGTATCGGTCGGATGACGAGTCGAGGGCGTGAACTAAAGGTTTGTGGTCAGTAAAGAGGGTAAAGCTTCTGCCCTCTAGAAAAGGAGCAAATGACGGTTGGCGAGGTAAACTGCCAGAAGTTCTTTCCCGAAGGTGCTGTAACGTGTCTCCGCTGGCTGCAACCGTTTCGAAAAGAGACCCAAAGGTTGCCATGTATTGTCGACAGCCTGCTGAAGAACAGCACCAACGACCTCGTCTGAAGCATCAGTGACGAGAGAAATTGGAACAGATGATACGGGATGTGCTAAGAGAGCAGCATTAGCGATTGCGTCTTTAAGATTTGAGAACGCTAATCACGCGGACTTGGTAAAAACAAACGAAGGTTGATTGCCCCGAAGCAAGTCAGTCAAGGGCTGCATTATCCTAGCACAACACGGAATAAAGCGTCGATAGTAGTTGACTATCCCAAGGAAACGTTTAAGCTGTTTAAACGACGTAGGTTCAGGGAAATCTTTGATGGCGGTTACCTTTTGAGACAGTGGTTCAATACCTGTAGCTGAGATGCGGTGACCTAGGAACTCGACCGACGATTTTCCTAGTTCGCACTTGCTAGGGTTCAAGGTAACGCCTCGATCAGATAGGCGTTGGAATAGAATACGCAGATGCTCTAAGTGTTGCGACTTATAGGCGCTAGCTACTAGGATGTCATCCACGTAAGGATATGCGAAGTCCAGACCACGAGTAACGTCATGGACGAACCGCTGGAATGTTTGAGCAGCGTTCCTTAACCCGAAAGGCATTCGAAGGAATTCGAATAAACCAAAGGGTGTTATAACTGCCGTTTTGGGGATATCGCAGTCCTCTACAGGAATCTGGTGATATGCTCGCATCAGGTCTATCTTACTAAACACTGACTTACCACCGAGACTACTCGTAAGGTCCTGGATGTGCGGTATAGGATACCTATCTGCAACTGTGCACTTGTTCAGCGCCCGGTAGTCTCCGCAGGGCCGCCAGTCGCCGCCTTTCTTGGGCACCATGTGGAGAGGTGAGGCCCACTGACTTTCGGAAGGACGGATGATACCAAGTTCGAGCATGTGCTCGAATTCCGCCTTAGCGGCTTTTAGCTTATCAGGAGCGAGACGTCGTGGCCGTGCAGAAACCGGTGGGCCACGGGTTCGTATATGGTGCGTAACGCCAGATGCGACCGGAAGCGTAGCGTCAGCTGAGTGGACCAGCTGCGGAAACTGTCTGAACAGATCTACAAATTCCTTATCAGCTTCGGACTGAATGTAAATGGGAGTGACAGAAACACAAGATGTGCGAACTCCACATGTGAAAAGCTGGGTCTTTTGGTCAACGCGTTTGCGATGACGCGCATCGACGAGAAGATCGAAGTGTTGGAGGAGGTCGATACCCAATATAGCAAACGGAACCGCAGCGCTGGTGACAATCCATCGAAAAGGACGTCGTAGTCCGAGGTCAATGGCAAGGGAGCGTTGACCGAAAACTCGGATAGCAGTGCCGTTAGCGGCACGCAAGTTGGTTGTCTGTGGTTTAGTCGCGTCGCTTGGAACCGGTGGGATCACACTAACTTCGGCCCCGGTATCAATCAGGAACATGATCCCGGTGTTCTTATCAACGATTTTGAAGAGGCGACTTGGACGACTTCGGCCGACGACGTTCGTCGCCACTACGTGTCGGCCTGTCCTTTACCCGGTACGCGAAATGAGCATGGTTTTATACAATTTCTAGCGGACCTTCCAAAACGTGCGTGCTAACGGCAAATTGGGCTTCGTGTTCGTCTCAGAGATGGGCTAGGGGAACGGGATGGAGAATCCCGTGGCTGCCGATGTAACTTTAAGCTTTGAACTTCTTGCCGTAGCGTGGCTATCTCTGCTAGGAGCTCGCCAGTCGAAGGTGGAGTAGCGGTGTCGATGGTTTGGACCGAAGGGTCAGCAGTAAAACCTACGTCAGGTGAGCGAACAGAACTGGACGACGGACACGGTAGTCCGGTGAAACAATCCATCATGTCGTCAGCAATAGCTGCAATTTCTGACAAAGGCTGCGATTTCGCAAGCAATAGCATAGCTTGTACGTTTCCAGGCAAACGCTGAAGCCATAATTCTCGAAGCAGCGACTCGTCCATATGCGATCCTTGAAGAAGACCACGCAGCTCTCAACAACGCGGATGGCTTACTAGAACCTAACTGTAGACCAGTAAAAAGTTTATGCAGGCGGGACTTCTCTGAGGGAGTAGCACGCTTTATTACAGCTTTCATGAGCAAATTGTAACGGTCAAGAGAACGAGATGTAATAATAAGATCACGTAGTGCTATGGTAATATCAGTTGGCAGGCGTGTTAGCAAGTGGTTAAACTTTGCAGAGTCACTAGTAACATGCTTAGAAGTAAATACAGCTTCTAAAATCATGAACCACAAGACGGGATCTTTTTCAATAAATGGTGGAACTACCAGAGATACCGCTGGCACCGACTGTGAGTCTTCACACTTTTTAGAAACTGAGGTCATGGTTTGCGTGGAAAAACCAAAGAAATGGAACGAACTCACCGGAATGCGATTGGGGTCACCAATTATGTAGCGTCCTGACGAATGCTACACAATAAATCCGTGGCACAATAAGACAGAAGACGACAGGATATAAAGATTGTCTTGAGAAAACAGCACAGTACAAAAACTATGTAAATATACCTTGAGGACAGTGGGAGAAAGTGGTGAAGCAGAGTTACTCCACGTCGGAGCACAACAGTCGGCAGCGCGCGGGCAAGATGGCGGACCTGGTTCAAAAAATTCAGTCCGGTATTTATAGGCTTCGGAGGAGTGCAAAGTAAAACAACATGTGTACAAGTGATGGCGATGCTTGATGAAGTAAAATGGCATTGTCACTACAAGATTCCCTCATCAATCCGCCAGTTGTCTGAAAACAACATCATGAGATGATCACGTAAATGAGATGTTGGGTGAGTGGTATAGGATTGTGAAGACTATTTTACCGATCAGTAACCTTTTATTCGTAATGATGAAGCCACCATTCTGGATGACACTTTTCAGCGGCTGGATTTCCTCTCGTGGAACTTGATCTACGCCCTCCCATTTTTAATTCCGTAATTCAGTCTCCGAGAGTTCTAGCTTCGGTTCTGCTCAATGTGGACCCCACATATATGCTCCGATTGAGCTTACCACAACAGCAACTTCGGGGGAAGGCCGGAGACAAATCTGTGGCAGACACGCTGCGGCATTTGAAGAGATTCGAGAACTTGAACATGTTGGATATGGGTGGCCAAGTGAGACATGAATCAGAATTGGACGCAGTCAAGGAGGTCCTCGTTCATCTGAGAGGGCTCAGAGAGATTGTTTTCGTCGACCTACTGTGAGTGCACTCTCTGTTGTTATCCATTATTCTCGCGAATCCACCGATTGCAACAATGATAGATTACGTTCCGTACTGGCTTCGGATGGTTAAGCTCCTACCGTACTGTGTAAACGGCTGGTAGTGTGTTGTCATTTATGGGACAGGGTGTAGCGAAAACGAGATTTGTGAATTCTGTGACCGTAAAACATTTGTTCCCCTTCATCCACTTCGTCAAAGCAGAGGACTTAGATTGCGATATGTCAGCATTTCGATTGTTCTCCTCAGTCGCAAACACAATACAAGCAGAAACGCAGACACAATTATATACATGGGATAAAATTGGCACACCAATGAAACTGTCAAAATCAAGACCAAGGCAATCTGATTGATTGCCTCCAGAGTTTCTGTGCACATAACACAGGTTGATAAGCGCTAATTAGCAACGTTTCACTGATTGCCAACATTATCTTGGTCCTGTTACGTAATAACACCTTGAACACATCAGTGGGGTTCACAAGGTGACTAGATGTCAAGAGGTGTTTGGCGATAGATAATGACGGACTCCGATTCGTTCCGTGGCGCGTTCCGTTCCGTTGCGCTATCATTTGTTCGACCCAGTTTGGAAGTGCTCAGCCACCCTCTGAGCCAAGCGACGGTTAGTCTTGTCTATGTAAACATCACCGCAACTGCAGGTGAATTTGTAAACCATATGGGAGGTCGAACTAGCCGAGTGGTTGCACTGACGGTCATGAAGAACCAGTTTCCGGGTAGTGTGCATGAGGCGCAACTGGGCAGTCGTGTATGTGCGATTTAGGGCGGACCTGAGTTTGTTTCCGATTTCATTTGCCACATATTCCCCTTTGAACGGCCGAACCAAATGGACAGCGTTTTCTCTGCCGTTTGCACTAGCAGTTTCTTCTTGGGGAGTTCGCTGTACACTTGGATGAGCTTTTCCGGATAACCATTCGATACTAAGGTCCTATACAGCAGGTTTTCTTCAGTTTCCAGCAATTCCGGACTATAAATTCGTCTAGCCCTGTAGAAAAGTGTCTTCACTAGACCACGTTTGTATGCAACCGGTAAACGGTGTGCTGCAATGTACCTCCATCCCGTCTCTTGATGAGGATATCCAAAAATGGCAGGCTACCATGTTGTTCTATCTCGTGCGAAACCGATAGGTTGGGGTGAATTGAACCCAAAGTGGTTAAAAGTCGCGCAAAATGTTCGCTTCTGGTGAATACCAAAATTCTGTGAACAACCAGCCTGATAGCTCGGCCATCTATGCAGACGATAGGAATTTCGAGTTTTATGTCTTGTGGTAACGAAAGCGCATAACTCCGAAACTTCGGGGAACACTATATCCAACAAGTGTCGTACATGTTGTGAGAGAAACCAGGCACAATGCCATTTTTTGTTTTGGTGCATCCAAGTACAGCTTGTTTTGCTTCAGTACTCCGGGGTCAAAAATAAGTTTCCGAATCTGACTGCGATTAGGATATCGTGCGTTAGATGGGTGTTACACTCACTTTCATTTGCTATACCGTGGTGAACTTAGCGGAGCAGAGTATGGAAGACAGTCTGCCATCGGGGTTAATGGAATGACGAAAGATGCAGTGGATAATGGACGAAGCCTTGGCCAGTTGGTCCCGTGAGCAATAGCATTGCAATGCAAACAACACACAACAGATACGCAAAACAAAACGGCCAAGGAGTACACGGCTTCACTCCGACTGGTTGCGCGCTACCTGCGAGCGAACCTTGCTCAAGTGGTGGTGGGTGAATCCAACACGCTTGGAAGAGTAGTCAAACGAGGGTTAGGCAGTGACTAAACTTCCTGAACAGAGAACAATGTGACCTGACTCGGGTTTACTATATGGAAGTTACACGCTCGACGGCTTTCGTGGTAGTACATTTTCCATCGTCCAGGACCTAGCCAAAATGTTATAGAGGAAAATTCATCGGATACTAGGGTAATGTCTTATACGAAAAGGTTACCCTCACCTGTTCTTCCCCAGTTGGTTGAATTGCGCACTCGAATGCACAGCGCGGGTTTCATGACCAATGTTCTGCTCGCCGAATTTAGCACAGTCCCCAAGTCCAAACCGGAGGTGGGGATAGCTTTGTGGCCGACCGTTTGAGGGGTTCGTTTCCTCGGGTCCGCGACGCGTGGTGCGATGTTACTCCAGGGACTGTTATCCACTACCCTCAAGCGCGTCTGGGGAGCCACAACTCGCAACGCCCCATGGCCAACGGATGTCGAGGTCCTGTTGAAATGGAGTGGGAGCAGGTGGAGAGAGAGGCATGCCTGAATGCAGATGCAGCGCATTAAATTGCAATGGTTAGTTAACTGTTACCCAAACACCGAAACGATTCGCAATGCTTCGCACACCGACTCATTGGTTTCCTTGACATGCTCTGGGGACGTCTGTTGGAATTGATGACGCATTCGGCGACGAGTCAATGGTGTACATGAGCCAAAAGCGATAATTTTGTGCATCAGAACATCCTTGGTTCACAAAAGTTTGGACCCAAAAATATAGGAGCATCTTAATGAGATAATCCGTTAGGGGTAAGAATCAGAATTAGTGACAAAGCTGCTAACCTTAAGGTAATATCCTTACGGCTACCCAATGTCGCCGCAAAATATTAGCAAATACTTCAGGCTTTCGCGAATCGAGAGGTTACCGCCGTTTTTAGTCATGTCGAAAGCCAGGCGGAGCAGTGCCGAAACGGTTCTTAAAATAGTTTTGCATTTTATTCAACTAGGGATATTGCGAATTCTAGATCAGACCGGGGTTACAATGTAACGGTTTAAAGTAGGGCGCAATCCTGCATAACGCAGCAACAACTGTACAAATGCTGGTGCGACTACCGCTCTCGAGTAAAGGTGCCACGCACTTCGCTTTAAGCGTGATCTACCTCACCCAAGAAAATAGCGCAAAAATATCGTAGTCAAGCAAGTCGGTCCAGATAACCATCCTACGGGACCTACATGTGTCAATTGTTGCACACAACTTACCATATCAAGCGGGTCGCAAGAGCTTTTGCTGGGGCAAGTTGGCCCAAAGAGAAGAAGGTAGGTATGAGAGACTGAAAAAGAGACAAAACGAAAGGTGTAAACACCACAGACAGAGGAGCTAGCAGACATTTGTGCCCTGTACAGTTGGATCCGGTCCAGAAAGCACGGATCAAGTGGAAGCATGATTACAATGATTTACAGATAATGTAAATCAAAAACGCTGAGAGTTAACGCAGGAAATCGTCAGACAGCCATTTCATCTTGTGGGAAATCGTCAGATGTGTGCGATCTCCGGCTTCATCAGCAACCGAAACCATGACATCTACACACCAACCAGTGGCTAGTATCTAGAATGATGACAGCAGACCGCCTTGGCTCATAAGCAAACTAAGATAGAGCGTGGTTCATCCTGGACTCACGTGCAATTTGCGAAAGTTGCAGCGTGTAAGTTTGGCCATTAGCGCTATCCAAATCCGCAGCTATGTATGACATAGCATCTAACAACCGAATATTTTGACAACATGTGGGTGGGAGATTTTTGATGGAACAGCTAATATATGTTATGTCGTATACGGCTGCTGGCATGAGAAGCCGTATCTGTGGGTGACAACTCCGCACCCTGCAATGATCGGAGGATGACATGCGCTCTATCGTTGTTTGATTGTGTGTCATGACGGCCTGCTGCCACCACACTCATGGTCAACTGGCACAAACCGTTGGTTGGTGTCGAAAGGCCATCTGTTCGATAGTACATGGAGCCAGGGGATGTGCACTATTAATGTGACTTCCGACGGGAGAAAATGGCCTTCCAATGCTTTTCCAGACGCGTAGGTGCTAGCTGAATTGGAAGCCACTGCGAAGAAGCTAAGGCGACCAATAGAACGAGAAGACAATGCAAGCAAGTCCCCTGAGGACAG